CTAAGGCCAGTCAGGTTAAACTTTCTTTAAATCATGTTCTGAATGGATGAAATTAAAATAACTGTGAATGACATAGTGCAGTTATTTCAACCTTGTGGTAATTTAACCAATTTCCCTATGCCAGTTAAATTTGTATTGTATGGGATTCTTACAACATGGAGAACAGTGACATTTTATAATATAGTACTGTTGTTTCTCCATTTCAAAGCAAATTTATGGCATTCTAATCACCAATGTTTTTTTGAAAACATAAATAGCCCAATTTTTTTAAAAAATCTATACTATTGAGTACAAACATACAATTTCTTTTGTGCTGTTATAAAATCAGGATGTGGCCTGTTTTGGAATTCCCTGTGTCCTTCCTTTTGCACAAATGGAGGCTGTTAGATCTGTTGCAACCTTTAGGCCCAAGGAGATGACTCTGGTAGTTGCAGTCACACCACAGACAGCATAATTCTAAGCTCTGCTTGTGGCCAGGCTGTGACTAGAGATGTACTTAAGGTTTTAGTCAGGATTGACCAAGCAGGTGAGCAGGGCAAGCAAGTAAAAGGGAAAGAGTGGGTGCCGAGGGACGCTCCCTTGTCCTTCAAGTACCTGGTAGATGCTCACTTTATGGTGCTTATGAAGTGTCATGAAGCAGCATACGAGTGAGGGAGCTGTGGGTTCTGCTAATAACCAGCTCTCTGTCACCTTGCGCGAATCAACCCCTCTGGGCCTTAGTCTTCCACTGTGAAATAAGGAGGCCTGGCTGAGATTAGGAATCTTATTTATTTATTTATTTTGAGACGGGGTCTCTCTGTCACCCAGGCTGGAGTGCAGTGGTGCAAACTCGGCTCACTACAACCTCTGCCTCCCAGGCTTAAGCGATCCACCCACCTCATCCTCCTCAGTAGTTGGGACCACAGGCGCAAACCACCACACCTGGCTAATTTTGTATTTTTTGTAGAGGCAGGGTTTTGCCATGTTGCCCAGCCTGGTCTTGAACTCCTGAGCTCAAGTGATCCGCCTGCCTCGGCCTCCCAAAGTGCTGAGATTACAGGTGTGAGTCACTGCACCTGACAGAGATCTCACACCTGGCTCTCAAGTCTGACTTGTCAAAGTCAAGTGAGGCTTCTGCTGCAGGCCATGCTTCTCCAGGGCCTGTCAGCATCAGTCCAGCATCCAGATTCCTGAATATTATCTTTCTAGATTCCCAGTTGTCTTCCTCCATCCGCTTGTCTGCTAGGTCTACCCATTGCTTCAGTTATAGTACAAACTCCTGTCTGTCCCATTTCAACCTAAAATACCTGTGTATGTTTTCTAATATTGATATATTTTGTACTTAAAGAGTATTTTACTGACTCAAAATTATGCTCCAAACAAGACCACAGTGAATCATGATGTACTCTCAGCCTGTTTCCCCTCTTGCTATTCTCTCCCTAGGTCATGACAGTACCATTCACCCCAGCTAAAAACCTGAGAGTTATCCCAAACTCTCCAGCCTCCTAAATCCCCCTTCTCAGTGCTTGTCCTCTCCATTCCTCCACTTTAGTGCTGCCGCTGGCCGTCAGGCCTTCAGCACCATTCTCCTGATGTATTTCAGTGATCTCCCCAATTATTGCCCTTCTCTGGTCATGCCCTCTCCCCTTCTGTCCATTCTCTTCATAATTGCTAGACCAGTATTTCTTGAATGCATCTCAGGTCCCATTATTCCTCTCCAACCCCATTTTCTGTTGTTCTTTATGTTGCATCTTACGTACCAAAATACAGTTCCCCAAATATTGCATGCTATTTCATGCCTCTCAGCTCCGAACACGCTGCTTCATCTGGCTGGAAGACCCTTCACTGACCATACCCCCACTACTGTACTTAGAAAGTTTCATATCCTGCACAAGTTAGATCAGGTATCTCTTCATGAAGCCCAATTTACCTTATCAAAGAATAGCGTATTGGCTGAGCATGGTGGTTCACACCTGTAATCCCAGCAATTTGGGAGGCCATGGTGGAAAGATCATTTGAACCTAGGAATTTCAGACCAGCCCGGGCAACATAGGAAGACCCTGTCTCTAGAAAAAGTTTTTTAAAAATTAGCAAGATGTGATGGGGCATGCCTGTAGTCCTGGCTACCCAGAAGGCCAAGGTGGGAGAATCGCTTGAGCCCAGGAAATCAAGGATGCAGTGAGTAATGGTCATGCCACTGCTCTCCAGTCTTGGCAAGAGAGCGAGATCCTGTCTCAAAAAAAACAAAACAAACAAACAAAAAACCTTTATCACTTTTTTTTTCGAGACGAAGTTGCGCTCTTGTTGCCTAGCTAGAGTACAATGGTGCGATCTTGGCTCAGTGCAACCTCCACCTCCTGGGTTCAAGCAATTCTCTTGCCTCAGCCTCCCGAGTAGCTGGGATTACAAGTGCCCACCACCACGCCTGGCTAATTTGTGTGTGTGTGTGTTTTGTTTTGTTTTTTTGAGACAGAGTCTTGCTCTGTCACCAGGCTGGAGTGCAGTGGCACGATCTTGGCTCACCGCAACCTCCACCTCCCAGGTTCAAGCGATTCTCCGCCTCAACCTCCTAAGTAGGTGGGACTACAGGTGCGTGCCACCATGCCTAGCTAATTTTTCTATTTTCAGTAGAAACGGGGTTTTGCCATGTTGGCCGGGATGGTCTCAAACTCCTTACCTCAGGTGATCCACCCATCTCAGCCTCCCAAAGTGTGGGATTACAGGCGTTACAGGCATGAACCACCAAGCCCAGCCAATTTTTTGTATTTTTAGTAGAGATGGGGTTTCACCATGTTGGCCAAGCTGGTTTCGAACTCCTGACCTTCAGGTGATCCGCCCACCTCAGCCTCCCAAAGTGCTGGGGTTACAGGCATGAGCCACTGCTCCCGGCCCAGTTTAATCACTTTTTACTTAGTGCTAACATTATATTTGATAATTGTTTTATATTGTGTTTATTTCTTTTATTGCAATTATCAGTTTTCCTGTGCTGTCCTGATAGACTGTAGTGAGTTCCTTGTGAATGTCTTATTCACCTTTGTGTCCCTAGCCCAGTTCCTGTCACCTGGCAGGTGCTTGTTGAAAGTTGAATGAATGAACTAGTGAATGAATCCATGCTTATAATAAAGAGTACAGCTCTGAAATTCAATGTCGTAAACAATCGTTTCATACATTATTTTAATATATATATTTTATTTTAAGAAAAGGAATGCAGTTTTCATACCATTTTAAGGACAGAGGAAGGGTGCTTCAACTTCAAGTGACACAAACCCACACTTAAAATTGGCTTGAACAATAAAGGGAATTTGTCAACTTACAAAACAGGAAAAATTCAGTCTTATTTCTGGCGAGACTTGGTCCAGCTGCCCAGGGATACCACTAGCAAGAGTTGTCTCTCTGCTCTGTCTTCTGCAGTGGCAGCTCCACTGGGCTCCCCACAGTGCTGCCTCCAGCAGCTCCAAGCTCTCTCCTTAGGGTAACAAAAACCTGTAGCATTTCCTGGCTTCATGTCTCTTCCTCTTCATGAGAAAGAAGAGGATCTCTTATAGCATGTGGAAGAGAGAGCCCCAGCAAACATCTCCTGCCTCACGGTACTCCAGTTGGGTTATACTCCCATCTTTCAGCTAATCGTTGTAACCAGGAGTGATTCTTCCATGTTGCTTCAGCCATTCTAGGCCTACTCTTAGAGGTAGGGTTAGGGGTGAAGGAGACAGGCGGCAAATACCACCAAACCATCTGGCTGAGAATATGAGAGGAATGAGTTACCCAAAGGAAAATTGCAGTACTGTCAAAAGAAGGAGTCAATAAAAGCTGAGAAGAGAACAAATGTGCATTTATAAAGGCTTTAAAAATCTTCTGAGCTGGAATCTCATAATTATTTCAAAACAAACTACTTTTGTTTTTCCCTGAAGTCTGAGACCACCAGGCAAGGAGAGGCTTCTGGAGGTACAGTGAGGAGTGGTTTCAGGCCCTGGAGCGGAGCTGGAGTGGCAGCCTCATTTCTCTTTGACAAGCCAGTCTTGAGCGAGGTGTGGGATCATGGTGGCTAGTTAAGGATCCCTGATCTCAGCCAGCCCTCGTTGCTTCACAGTGGGACACTGAGGTCCAGAGAGCTTGATTCACGCAAAGTGACTGGTTATCAGCAGGACCCATCCTGGGACTGTATTAGTCTGTTCTCATGCTGCTATAAAGAACTGCCTGAGACTGGGTAATTCATAGAGAAAAGAGGTTTGGGCTGGGCATGGTGGCTCATGCCTGTAATCCCAGCACTTTTGGAGGTCAAACATGGCAAAACCCCATCTCTACTAAAAATACAAAAATTAGCCAGGTGTGGTGGCACATGCCTGTAATCCCAACTACTCAAGAGGCTGAGACCAGAGAATTCCCTGAACCAGGGTTCTGGTGGTTGCAGTGAGCCAAGATCATGCCACTGCACTCCAACCTGGGTGACAGAGTGAGACTCCATCACAAAAAAAATAAAAGAGGTTTAATTTGACTCGCAGTTCTGCATGGCTGGGGAGGCCTCAGGAAACTTACAATCATGGCAGAAGGCACCTCTTCACAGGGCGACAGGAGAGAGAATGAGTGCCCAGCAAAGGGGGAAACTCCTTTTAAAACCATCAGAACTCATGAGAACTAACTCACTATCACAGGGGAACCACCCTCATGATTCAATTATCTCCACCTGGTCCCTCCCACGACACATGGGGGTTATGGGAACTACAATTCAAGATGAGTCTTAGGTGGGGACACAGCCAAACTTTATCACGGCCCACAGCACTGTCACTCATATAACACTTCATGGTACTTCATCAGCACCGTAAAGTAAGTACCAAGTACTTGAAGGACATTTAAAAAAAATTTTGTGGTAAATTATGGTCATCTTGATTTCGTAATGATTAGTTGAACCATCCAAAATACATTTAAAAATATACATTGCATTATTTTTAAATAGTTATGAAAGAAAGCTGAAAACATTTTTGGTTGAATGAAATTTTACCATTTTAGCTTTGTCTTGTTTCCAGGATTTTTCAGTCGTGTGGCATTCACTAAATAATAAATGTATTGTATGTTTCAGTGTGTGGTAACAGCAAAGAATGACTTCATCAACCACTTGATCTCCTCTGTTGTGGTTTATGATGCCATCTGGGTTCTTTGGTGGTATTATTTCCATCTAAATCACTATAAACTCCTATTTAGTTTTCACAAATCTAAAGCCAGATATGTTTGTGGTTTTTAAACAGTGATGTAATTCTGGAACATACTTTGAAAGTTACAAGTTGTCATATACTGTTAGTATTTAACTCAGTGTTTCATATACTATCAGACACTAGAAGCCTGAACAAAATCCATTTCTCTCTTTTTTCACTCTTCAGCATCCTACATTTTTGTCTGTCTTGCCACCATACATTTGATTATACATCAGTCAAGTTTATACAGGGAGCGTTGGGAGGCCCTGTGGGCATACAGAGTACTATGGGACATGGCCCTGCTGTACAGGAATTAGGAAACTGAGATGGAAAGGTTGTTTCACTGTTTCACTAAAATATGTCTTTTTCTATATGATCGAGAATAAGAAAGAGTCTTACTTCTTTGGCCAATTGTGTGAAAGAGACCGGATTATGTTGAAGACAGGTAAATTTTGCAGGATATACACATTGAACTGCAAAGAAAGTAGAGAGAAAGAGACAGAGAGAGAAGAAAGAGAGAGAGAGAAAAGAAAAGAAAACTAAAACATCCTTTCTAGGAACATATAACCCAGTTGACTGCCAGGTAGGAGCAATAGCAAGACAGCAGAACTTGCCATAAGGGCCTTGAGGCCCAAAGTTCAACAGAAAAGTCTGAAATTTTCTGAGGTTATGTTGTGTTTTTATTCTGATTTTTCCCCTAAAAGGCTTAGGGAATGTGTAGGGGCTGGGGGGTGGTCATTGGTAACAGTGATAGGTGGGTTTGGTAAGCCAAGCCTACAGTGCAAAACAGGGCACAAAGGGCAAAGAGAGAGGAGGAGGCAGGGAGCTTAGTTCCCATAAAGGCAGGGAAAGAGACAACAAACTCTATGGGTTTGAGAGTGGGTGATTTGAAAATCGAGTAAGAAAAAGGAAATGGATCAGGATGGTTAGTTGGCTACGCATAAGAGCATCAGAAGGCAGGAAGTAAACTTTGTGGTTCAGCTCCTTATATGTTAGGGAAGGCAGCTCCTCAGCAGTGAGGCACAGAGATCCAAGCAAGGTCTAGAGAAGGAGGTGAGTCAGCAACATACTTCAGTACACGTGGAAGATGGGTTCAGGTCCTGGTGCTGTCACCTTGGGAAAGTCCAGATTCCTCATCTGTGAAGTGAGAACGTTGGAATAGTATGTCTCTTAAAACCCTGAGATGTCATGAGGTTAAGAGCCATCATGTTCCCCATCACCATCCAGCATAGCCCATGGACTAGACTTCTAGAAGTTATAATGATAGTCATTTGTCTGTTCAGCAAGTTATTTACTGAGTACCCATGATGTGCAAAACATCAGGCAGTGGGATTATAGCAGTGAGCAAGATAAAATCCTTTTCTCTCATGGATCTTGCATCCCAGGAAGAGGGACAGACTACATGCAATCACATATACACATAAATGAACAAGTTAATTGGAGGTAGTGGTGATTGCTATGCAGATGGTAAAACAAGACAGTGTGGTGGAGAGAGACCACATGTTTGGGGAAGAACTGTCTCCTATCTGAGTGGGTAATGTTTAGATGAGACCTGATGTGCAGGAAGGAGCTAGTTGTGAGACAGTCTGGGGCAAATCAAACTGGTTAGAATGAGCAGACAAGGCCCTCAGGAAGGAGTGAGTCTGATACATTAAAAAAAAACAGACAGAAGACCAGTGTGGCTCAAATGAATGAACAAGGAGGAATTAGAGAAGTGAGCCAGCACCGGATTACATGGGACCTTGGGAGCAACTGTAAGGCATTTGAACTTGGTGCAGTGGAAAGCCTTTGTGGGTTTTTAAGCAAGAGAATGAAAGGATCTTCTTTACATTATAAACAGATGGGTCTGGCAATTCTATAAAGAATAGATTGTAGGGGAGCAAGAGGAGAAGCAAAGAGACTAGTTAAGAGGCTGTTGCAGTAGTCAAGGTGAGAGATGGTAATGACTTGAATCGTGGGAGTACCGGGGACATGTGGAACAAGTGGGTAGCTATGGAATGTGTGTAGAAGTTTTGGAAGAAGGAAACATGGGGCCAGCCTCCTCTCTCCTTTCTGTCCCTGCCAACCTCATAGATCTTCATATCTAGAAGGAAATCTACGATAGATTTCACTTTTGATTTGTTGATCTCTACCTTGGGAATACAGAAGGAGTAGCCTGTTGTGGTAGCAAATATGATAGTTCAGTTTTAAGTCACTGTAGAAAGGCCTAGTGGATAGAGGAATACAAATATATATATATATCTCAGCCCCAGTAGAATGGATTGAGATCCAGATTAGTAGCCTACAGTGTC